AGCTGGGCATGGTGGCGCGTGCCTGTAATCCCAGCTACTCAGGAGGCTGAGGCAGGAGAATTGCCTGAACCCAAGAGGCGGAGGTTGCAGTGAGCCGAGATCGTGCCACTGCACTCCAGCCTGGGCAACAACAGTAAAACTCCATCTCAAAAAAAAAATTGTCTCCTTAACGGTAAGAGGGTCCTCTGATCGGCCAGCAGCCCTTCAAGTCCCTGTAGTGGCACAATCCACACTCACCCGCTGGCCCTTCTGGTCTCCCCATCCAGAGCTGACGAGTCTGGGCTTTTTGGGAAGCGGTTCTGACCAGGGGCGACTGAAGCACTTGGATGATGTCACAGACGTAGTGAGGAAGGACGTGAGTACTGATACCCACTTCAGGCCTGCCGTGCGAGCAGGGGTGCAGGATCCCTCAGGCAATGCCAAGGATGAGGTGGGCAAGGAGGCGGCAGCAGGGCTGGGGGGAGTCCCGAACCCCCAGGCCTCTCGGCAGCCCGGTGCGCATGGTCTGGCAGCGGTCAGCCCCCCGACAGCAGTGCAGGGCTGAGCAGCAGGCTGTTGAGGTCCGGGGTCTGGCAGCAGTCAGCCCCCCGACAGCAGTGCAGGGCTGAGCAGCAGGCTGTTGTGGTCCCAGCACTGCCAGAGCCAGAGCAGGGCAGCTGGGCAAGCATCTTGTCCAATGCCTTGAAAGCCAAGGGGCCAGTTTCCATTGCCTGTGATGGGGCACCGTCCGACAAGGAGGGCTGGACCCCACTCCACCCTCTAAGATGAGGAGGCGGAGCCTTGACCTGGACAGCCGGTTGCTGTTTGAAGGCGTCCTCCTGCCACTGGAAGATGACAGGGCTCCAGCCGTGGGTTCCCTCTGCAGGCCAGAGCCCCCGCTGCCCTGGCGCCTTGCCATGCTGTTGTTAGGGAAACCCATGCACCCACCTGTGTGCGGGTCTTTGGGGGTGCCAGCCTGCCACCAGCAGCCCCCATCAGCTCCGCTGTCCACACCCTGCGTGCCTTTTCTTCACAGTAAAGCTGTCACTCAGAGACCCACACGTAGAACCTGCCGGTAACAGGTTTCTCCGCTGGCTACATCGTGGGAGGAAGCAGCAGAGGCACCATGAGGAGTCTGGGGCTAACGGGATTCCGGCTGTTACATGATTTGAGGGGGGTCCAGGGAAGCGGGGCCCATTCTGGACTCTGGTGCTGTCAGGAGACAGAGTGTCTCTCTCTGTTGCCCAGGCTGGAGTGCAGTGGCACAATCTCAGCTCACTGCAGCCTCCACCTCCTGGGTTCAAGCGATTCTCCTGCCTCAGTCTTCCTGAGTAGCTGGGATTACAGGCACACCACGGCCAGCTAATTTTTTGTATTTTTTTTTTTTTTTTTTTTTGAGACGGCGTTTCGCTCTTATTACCCAGGCTGGAGTGCACTGGCGCGATCTCGGCTCACCGCAACCTCCGCCTCCTGGGTTCAGGCAATTCTCCTGCCTCAGCCTCCTGAGTAGCTGGGA